TTTAGATTCTCAGTGCTGTGCTTTAACCCGCTGCGCCACCAGGGAGGGCCCCCTGTGAGTCTTTTTTAATAAAGATTTATGTATTTATGTACACAAGAACTGGGGTACAGGCCGGAGGTGCAGGGGGGAGGTGAGAGCATTCACCAGACACTGAGTGGGGAGCAGAACAGGCAGATGGACAAAGTACAGTGCTGAGGGGAGCAGCAGGGAGACAGGAGAGGTCTGCTGGGCCCTGGGGGGTCACCCCTGGCCGGGGATTGAACTCGTGCTGCGGGGGCTGCGGACAGCTTCATGGTGCTGCGCTTTAGCGCCTGGGTCCCCAGGGAGGGCCCCCCTGTGAGTCTTACCACAATCCCACTCTCGCCTTAGCCTGGGAACCCCTAACTCTATCCTCAGGCCCCAATAAAGCATGTGCCTGGGTCCTGTCCTTGCATTCTGACTTGACCTCCCTGCATGACCCTCACTGGGTAGCTTTGTACTTCCTCAGGATCTGTGAGTAGGAAACTGTCAATTCCTCTGTGCTCTTCTGTTGAGAGAGGTTCACCTGGTCCCTCCCCCGTCCAGAGGCTCCATTTAACACAGCGAGAAAGGGGATCTGAGAGGCGAAGGAAGAAGTGCTCAGGTTTTAGGTGAAGGGAAGCTGGGAGCTATAGATGGTTCTAGGCAGGGAGCAACAAAACGGGGTTTGTGTGGCCATTGTGGAGGGATTGTAGATACGGAAGCTGGGAGCTTTGAGCACTGTCTCCCAGTGAAGCAATCCTCCCCCAGAGCAAGTTTTAGACTCAGGATGGAGTTTACTTTTCATCATTAAAAATAATAGGGCGCTCCCTGGTGGCTCAATGGGTTAAGTGCAGCAGAGTTACTCCGTGAAGCCAGCAGTTACTTCAGCAAGAGTTCGATCCCTGGCCAGGGAGGTGACCCACAGGTGCAGCAGACCTCTCCTGCTGCCCCCCTCAGCAGTGTACTTCATCCATCTGCTCCCCACTCTGTCTCTGGGGAATCCTCTTGCCGCCCCTGCAGCTCTGGCCTGTACTCCAGTTCTGTATGTATAAATAAATTAAATAAAT